CCCCCCAATCCCCTTTCACTCGGGAACCGTACTCACATTTTCACCGTACTCACAGTCACATCTTCTGCCAACAACGGCCAAGAGCCTAACCTTAGTAGATACTGGGTGAACCCGGTTCGATTCTCTTTTGAGGGCCTGTATTCTTGGTGGCTGATGGTCGGTTGTATGATTGAGAAATAAGGTGGTTCTTCTTTTTGACTGGGCCCTGTCGGCAGAGCATGTGACGCAACTGCAACAACAGCGGCAGCACTGAAAGAAAGATTCTCTTTAGTTTTAGTACATGTACTTTAAGTCTCTTTTGTGAGCGTTTTAAGGCAATTGCAACACAAATAGGTCATATAACTTGCCGCAGGTCAGAGGGGTTACAAGAGAGTATAAATATTAAATGTAAAAGAAGGAGGAGAGATCAAGACGATAGGTTTTTGATAGGAAAGAAAGGAGCAAACCACAGCAGAGCACCCCGTCAACCACCCACTTTTAGTAGTTTTGGTAAGAGTTTTAAGGCACTAGCAACACAAATTGGTCATAATAAGTAAGTACATGTCCCGAAGACTAAAGGCAAAGGTGTTATTTTAGTACATAGATACTACTAGAGAGTAACATACATGTCCTGAAATGCTATGTATGATTAATGTATGGTCAACCCTTCTATATATGGCGGTGAATACAGGACAATCACCAAAGACAGTGACAATAAAATAGAAGCAATGTTAAAAACAATCAGGAAACGACAAATGCAGTTTTTGGGACACCTGAATAGACATAAGGGTCTCGAACACTAGCTCTCAGTGGCAAAATTGAGGGCAAGCGTGGCAGGGGTAGGCCCAGAACAACATACTTTTAGGGAACCTAAACAAATGGGTAACAGTAACAGGGAAAGATCAGGGAAACGTACCTCTTTTTTGAGAGCATCCTAGCAAAGGAATGAATGGAAAACCATGATCGCCGATGTCTGTCGCAGATCTGGCACTGGATGATGATGATGATGATGATGATGATGATGATGATGATGATGATGATGATGAACATACATGTACAAAGAAGAGGAGGAGAGACGAGGACGATGGGTGTTTGACAGGAAAGAAGGATCAAACCACACCAGAGCGAGCACCTGCTAGTCACTCACCCACCCACACACACAAAACAACAACAAAATTCACTCAGAAGAATAGGACACAAGGCCAGAATTAGAAAAGGATTACATACCGTTTTATTGCTTTCATCATATGACGCATGTACAATGTATATATATATATCTATATATATATCTATAGAGGAGTTAACTTAGACCAATAATGCCTTGTGAGATAGCATAAATTATAACATTTATATTTATTAGACAACACAACCGAAAGTCACACCCTCACACTCACACCCCATGGTAACCCCCCCCACCCCCTTTACACACACAAATAAAATAAAACTTCACATACAGTTCACGTGTACGTGTAAGCGTAAGTCGAGTGCGAGGGAAGCCACAAGGCTGAATGAACAATACTGTCACTTACCCCCCAAAAACTACTTCCGGGCCTTGGTTTCGCTGTTTAATAACACAGTACAAGCAAAGTTTTTGTAAAGAGAAACAAACATTTCAATACAATAAAACGAATACAGTAACTTAAAAACAGCCACTCAGTGTTGGCTGGTGAAAAAATCGTATGGGTTTAACGCCCCTATCAACACTATTAGGTTATTTATGGGGCGGGACCTCCTGGTTTCACGCCCGTCTCCGATAGGACCGAGCCAAGTGGGACATTTGTGTAAAGTGCCTCAGTGTTGGCTGGATAAGAGCCAAGACAAAACGACAGACATGAAGTAAGAAGACACAACAGACCTTAAGTAAAAGTAAAGAAGTAGCAAGCTGATTCAGAAACCACGGTACTTCAAGAAACTTCAGTAACCACGGTACTTTGTACTTTAAAGTACCTTCAGAAACCACGGTACTTTGTACTTAAAGTAACTTCAGAAACCACGGTACTTTGTTTAATAAAGTAACTTCAGAAACCACAGTACTTTGTACTTAAAGTAACTTCAGAA